AATCTCGCACCCACAGCACAATATCTATGCGGACGACATCACCGTTTGGTGCTGCACCGGCTCCCCAGCAGACCAGGAAGCCACGGTGCAGGCCGGACTGACACAATCCACACCCACATAACGCAACTTGACTTCACGTGCTCCCCCACAAAAAACAGAATACATCGTTGTCTCTAACGCTACGGGACAGAAGGCAGACGACTACCGCGCACTCATTCAACTACATATAAATGGCACCCTCATCCCTCGCCGTTGCACCGTACGGGTGCTAGGCTTCCTCCTCCAACAGGACGGCAAAGCGGACGAGTGGGTATCACTCATCACAAAGCATGCAGATAAACGAAATTCAACACATGCTCACTAGAGTATCCAGGCGCAACCGAGGTCTAAAAGAACATGAGATGCGTAAAACGGTCGAAGCCCTGGTCTACACCCGAGTCATGTACAACCTACCTTATGCCACCCTCACCACCACACAAATCCGCAAACTCGAAACCGCGCTCCGTAAGTGCACCCGACTCACACTTGGCTTTCCACGGTTCGCACCCAACCACCTACTACATCTAACTGGCATCTTCAACACCTTGGACGAGCGCATTACCATGCATCGCCACGCTCAACATGAACGTCTAGGTACATCGCGACAGGGCCGACGAATACTAGACCACCAGCACTATGATACCTCCCCAGCTCCCCTCCATCCCTCCAACCTCCCCACCATGGGACTCACTGCCACGTCTACATGTCCTTCCTCTACCGCGAAACATGTGTCCGGAAGCCCACTCTTCTCGAAGAGAAGATCGTGTAAAACGTCTCACGAAGCAAGGGGAACCGCCGGATACAGACCTTTACTTCACTGATGCCAGCTATTACCCTGACCGATGTCGCACGGCAGTGACTAACAATACCTTCTCCCATACCACTCTGCATGAAGGTGTACCCTCTCCTGCGGCTGCCGAAACACTTGCCATCGCCGAGGCCATCATCATCCCCACACATCATCACGATCGGATTCTCATACGCACCGACAGTCAAGGAGCTTGTCGACAGTTTCGGGACAACACGCTCCCTCCCCATATACACGCCCTCATCCAACAACACCTAACTACTCACCCTCATCTGAACGTCACCATCCAATGGATACCAGGCCACCAGGGCATGGGATGAAAATCAAGAGCGCACGCGCTCTCCCGCGCTGAAGGAAATCCGGGGCCTCCTACCCTCTGGCCTGAGTCCTACGACCCACGTGAACACCGAAAGCAACTCCACAAAGCTCGAACGGCTATCCTCAAAGAACTGCGTATGACCGCCTCGGCTCTCCCCCATCCGCCTCCACATTTCACTCGCGAGGAGGGTGCCATCTTACGCCGTGCTCAAACTCACACTCTAATGACCCCTCATTACAAACACTACATACAAGGACTCCCTGGACGCCCCTACTGTCACCCCATTGCGGAAGCCACCCTTCCAACATACACATGATGTGGGATTGTCCACAAGCGAAACCCCTCATATCTGCAACCTTACACCAACTGCCCCCGACCTACACCCAAACTCCTGGGATAGCTGGATCACTCCACCTAAAGATCACCAACACCTACTGCCACTTCTGATCCAGCACGTCCACAACGTACTTGGGGAAGAGTAGTAAAGCTATATTGGGAGCGCCGGACTAGGCGTGTTAAAATAAATATTTTTTATTTCTCTCTCTCTCTTCGTCTCAGGCTATGTTAAATAAGAAGCAGCTCAGCTACCTAGTAATTGAGACGTTATGTTTTCATTCATTTTGCCTCCGTCTCAGGTTTTAGTATGTCGAACAAGAACCAGTTTGCCTGCCTAGTAATGTTTTCTTTATAAAAAAAAATGTATGGTTTGTTTTCGATTCTTGTGTGTACCACGAAAATGGTTCTTTCAGATCAATCACCCAGATCTGTCTTCGAGGGTCGTATACGCATCAACATCGGCCTCGTCTCTGTGCTTAAATCCGGTCACATTAACACGCAGAGATATAAAAGACGATATTCACGACACAGTAAGGACGCGTTTTTCTACCGCGAAAGAAACAAATACCTACTGCCTATCTGTACAAGCCCGAAGTTTAAAAATGCACTTATGCCTCAAGTTCAGAGCGTTCTGAATTCGGAAACAGTGGGCACCGCTAATCTCATAGCCTGTACCTGAAGGCAATTAACGTGCGATCGCTTCATTTGATATCGTTGTTTTGTTGTTATTATAAAGACTGCATTGACGAATCTGATCCAGAAATGCACCGTCGATAACGACACTCGATTTTGTTATTATTAACTGATTTCCCCAGAACTTTGGGTAGATCATTACTTCGCTGCGAAAACCATCTCTGCCACAAATGTATGCAGTGAGCGACTAATATTAAGAGAAAAACTTGATGTCCATCAGACTGAACAACCTCGCAAACAGTTTATGTTCTGTAACACGCCATCTTCAATATCGCACATCACGTCGTCCGCGTCATGACAAAAGAGGTAAACGAAAGGGTAGTTTCGCACTTCGCCCCCGGGAGACGTGACGGTCGATTAACGTAACATACGAAATGAAATGCTACGCTTTACCTCGCTACCTAACGACACTGGGCAAGCGTTGTAGTAGACGTGTATTAATTTTGTGTTATGCGTAAGTTTAGTCAGCCTTCTGGGCGTCTGGTGTCTCAGCTAAAGATGAGAAATTTTGCCAGTTCAATGCCACTGCTAGGTTGGGGTCTTTAACGCTCATCGTGCACTAGTGATACACGACTACACACCGGTGAGGCGCTCATCCCGATTGATTGAAAGGGACAAGGGTGGGGATTGAAACAAGGCATGTATTTGGGCAAGCTGCATGTGTCCTCTTTCCTCCAGCGCCACCTTTCCTCGCTCAGCCTAAATTACCCTTTTTTCATTCGTAATTCAAAGGCTCTGGTTGATGACTTGAGGGGAGATAACCCAGGATAGTGTGACAATGTGTCGTTTCATGCTGAGGATATTTTCTTTATATTATTTCATGCCCCATGGTGAGCTCATGACGGGCGTGTAAGAATGTGTCCAAACCAGTGGGTTCGTTGCCTTCAGTAGCTCTTCAGGTATTTCGAGTGACTCGTTTCTGGAGTTGCTGCACTTCTCCCTCGAGTCGACCTACGTTGCCTACAAGGGCGATACCCCCTTGCAAAAGAGTGCATCTGTATTAGGTCTAGCGTAGCCCCTGTGCTTAGGGATATTTATTTGGCGAAGTGCGATATGGCCATTGCTTGGAGACTAGATGAGCGCGTTTTGAGAGTTCTAAGATATGTCGATAATTATCTTATTGACCCTATATCTAACCATGACCACGACTGTGTTCAACTGGTTATGAACATTTTAGACATTTCTACAAAGTGCTCTCAGGGTCTAAGGTCCCGAGGTCCCAACAAAATGGATTTGCAATTTTTGGGCATTAATCTGACAATCACATGTGGTGGTCGTATGATCCCAGATCGAAGAAAGGGTTACTTCCTTGTGATTCGGCCAACTCAAAATTGGTAAAAATGGCCGTTGCAGGCACATGCCCTAGGGGGTCTCTGTTGAAGTCGTGTCGTCATAGGTGCGGTTTAAGTTTTGTGTATCAGGTTAAAGGGCTCGTCCCTGCGAGCTTCTGCCCGGCGGTTATTCTGGGCTCTGCTGAGCCCTTCGCGACAACGTTCAGGGAGTAACTGGACCTAGAAATAAAAAAAAAAAATCAAAGGCTAATTTTTAGATCGGTTGTACTCCCGTATGTCCACACGGATGGGTCACAGTTTTGGATGGGTCACAGTTGTGTACGTTTACGGGTTTCCCGTGTCGTGTTAGCTAACAAACATATAGGCCGATGGTCGCCGTGTTACAACTAATTATACCCGCCTTGTTTTAGAGCAACGTGTACAACACTGCACGTGACCTTCGCAAGATAGGCGTGATAAATCGCAGCACCTGATTAAATGGGATTGCCCGTAAGGTCAGCTGCGGTTCATCGTGGGGAGACGTGGACAATGCTCGTTAAGCCCCCAGCGCGCGATTTAACTCACTTCGAGGGTCGCCGAGAGTTTAAGAAAGGTGGGCGTAATCATGCTTCGTGATTTTGTCGCCGCCGCAATCTCTATCACTGCGGACCTAAAATTAGATGGGCTCCCTGCCTTTCTTAAGAGGTCGGTGCCATCGATTCTCGCTCTCGACAAACAAAGGTGTCTATTGCCCAGCGGTTTATTAGGCCGAGATTAAGGATGTAACGTACACTCTGCTGCTCTGTTAGCGCGACACCTTTCCGCGTTTGGATCGGACTTCTTGCACTCACTGACACCTTTAGAAACACGAGGCTCGGGGCATCTCATTATGGCAGCCAATTCTAAGTAGCTCCAATAAGAGGGTCAAAGAGCGTCTCTCGAAGCGAGGAGCGCGAATATATTAAGCGCTTTTTGAGTTGGCAGTGAATAAATATTCGTAACAAACTTCTGAAGAGAAAAACAACAAAAAATGGCGATCGCGTGTTTCCGCTGGAAGCGCTATGTACAAAGTAGCCAATCGCATGCTAAAAACAAACGCAAACAAAAGAGCTGGGTCAGAAAGCTGGTCAGGAGCCTCCCGTAGTAGGCTCTAATTCTAAAATGAATCATCGAACATGTTGAGTGACTTACACTGAATCTCTTTTGGAACACAGGGTGTACTTAATGACAATATTATGCCAAGAGTGTTCGTTCTTTTTTCCTCTTACCCCCTTCCCCGTTTAAAAAGACGCCCCCTGCGATGATCCCTCGAGTGATAGCGTACTCTCGACTTCTATTGGCTGGGAATGGAATCGACATCCACCGAAGTAAGCATATATATGAACAGGTATAAATGGTTTTACGGAACCACGATCGACTTAAGTTTGCCTCGTGCGAGGTGGTGTTTGTTGGAAGTTAAGGCTATATTTCAATTCAGTAATTTCAGATACCTCTCCGTGTGGGACCTATCTACTTGCTTGAGCAGATACCTGACATGCCCACCGGAGTGACTCCCATACGAGTAGCATATCTGACGGTAAGGTCGAGCGGCATACAAAATGATACGTTGCTAAGTCTTGAGAGCATGCTGTTTGCCAGACTCGCAGTAGTCATTAACGAACCAGTGGCTGTGATTATCAGACTCGAATGGCGATCGCAGATTTGTACTACAGACCACCATACTTAAAATTATGATTACACGTCCGACCGTGTGACTTGAGCAATAGCAGTTTGTTAGAAAATTACAAGCTCGATCTTTCTGACAAAGACTATACTCTGTTTCACCCTACGATGTACCGCACGGAAGGCTACAAGCGCGAGCTCCTTGCTCCAGGGCACATCTCGGCGGCACAAGCTCTCGTGCATAAGGGGCAGCTGTTAACGCTATGGGCTCGAGCTTCTAGCCTTCGCTGCGGTACAGCATCAGGTAAAACGGAGTGTAGTAAGTACAGTATGTGTGATAAGCCTTTCAGGGAAAAAGCGAATGGTGCCTGAACGAAGATTCGCTCTCATTTTCGACACACGCCGTGGGATGGACGCAGCATAACACGAGTTCGCTTTTGTGCGTTCCAAACACCGACCCTGGATTGCTCAGTCGGCAAAGGACTTGGCTGACAACCTCAAGAAAGGGATTTCAAATGTTGCAGGGAGGCTGAACTTCAAAACCTGCCGAGGACTGGAAGCGCATGGCGCCCTTATCAGTTTCTGGTTTCAGTTTCGCGACGAACAGATCGTCAGCGTGATGGCACGGCGATGTCCTACTAATGTAACAATTGCCATCTGGAAAATACCGGCTAGAGCCAAGGCGCTTATTCCGCCTATGTTAATGGTCGATCCACAAGACTGACTGATCCGCGGACGAATTGATCACGTGACGACATGTGCGCGGTTCGTCCGTTTCCCAAGCGCATCAAACGAGGGAGACGACGAGCAGACGCCAGCAAGGACGAGCCTAACCTGCTCGCCACTCCACAGTGACGCGAAAATCTAACATCGCACCGTTACGTCGTTGTCCAAGAGAGAAATCGATGTTTGCTACCAATCGTACGCGGCTGTTACGTACAGATCGAAACAGAACACCGTGAAAGGCTTCACGCAAAGCGCCACTAGGTTTACTAACCGAAAGGATGACGGCGCACACAAGCATAGTCCTGCTGGAGAAGGCTTCGGCGCAGAAGCGACGAACTTCTGGGCTCGCGGATTGGCGGTCGGAGATGCCTTCACGCATTCCGCGTTCGTGCACAACACTCAACTACACCCTAGCCACAAGAAAGGTCTTGTCCGGTGAAAGGCTGATTGGACGTGCAAGAATTATCGCGGCGTGCAAGACGAGTTTTGATGAAAGCTTCGTGGCGCGCACCCGGGGGAGTACTGGAACCTGCGTCGCGTCAGCCGGACAACGTTTAGAAGCTTTTTTTCACGTGTGGAACCCAGAATCGAGCAACAAAATTAACCAGCGAACGCTCAAAACATAACAACGCTCCATTTTTATTTTAATCCTCCGAAAACAAACAAACAAAAAAAATAACAACAACAAAACATTGTACCGTTTCCAGACTAAACACTTTTCAAGTCAATCTCCTGTCGGTGGGACGAGAAAATCTTGATTGGTCGATAAGTGATTGATTTGCCTTAAAAAACATCACGAAAAAATGTTGGCGAAGCAAGATGGAACTCAAAACGCATCGGTTGCGAGCCAGACACGCTACCGGCTAGGTCGCGCAGACACACGTGGACGGCTGGGAACGAGGGGCAGGGGGGGGGGGGGGGGGGTTATAGTGAGCTATCCCTTTCACTCTTAAAGGTGAAGCTTAAGCGTCCTCCTGTAAGTTTTCGGTGACTGCCATTACCTAGAAAGAAAAACTAAGGCACGTTTATTCAGTTATTAACGTTGATGAGTGATTCTATGTAGTATTTAGTGAAAGTAGAAAGATCGTTTCATGGCTGTTTTAACTCAGGAGACGCACACAAGTGAGACTCTTGGATCGCCCGTCCTCTTCACCAAGTTTTTCTCGGTTTCAGTTTCCACCGTATCTGGACGCTGTGCAGCGAAATGGTCAGACGATCCTCACTGGAATTGTGGGAAACCTCATGATGCACATCATTCAGGCGCTGAAGCTCAAGTAAGACGCCGTTCACGAGTCAGTTCTAGAAACAACTGAAAAGTTACAGCCGATTATGCACCCTAACCGCGGAATTCACTGAGGCGCCCCTCCACTTCCCCAAGATAGGCGCAAGGGCCGGCGCTGGCCCATGGCGACGACGGATAGGCGGCCTAGGCTGCTTATCCGTCCTCGCCATTCGCCAGCGCCGGCCCTCGCGCCTTCCTCGAGGAAGTGGAGGGGCGCCTCAGTTGGGAATAAGGTTTATGAATTCGGCAGTAAGAAAGTTTATCGCGTCATAAGTAAACACGACTACCCCCCCCCCTCCCCCCATTTAAGAAAGGGGCAGTCTACGCGTAAGGTCTAAAAATCCAGAAGGCCTCTCATAAATCACTCGCTGCCAACACCTCCTAGACAGCTTTCAAGCCTGCGCGTCACGTGACATGACGTCACGTCCCGGAGAAGGCGCTGATTGGATGCGAGTGCCGCGTCAGCGTTCGCGTGGGACTTGTTTCCTGTCATAGTCCCACGCGAAGGCTGATACGGCACTCGCATCCAATCAGTGCCCGGGCAGGCCTACGGGACGTGACGTCATGTCAGGTGACGCGCAGGTTTGAAAGCTGTCTAGGAGGTGTTGGCACTGCATCGCTCGGGCCAGCTAGTACCCTCCGTAGATCCTGAAACCGGCTCAGTTCCGTCTCTCTTACCACTGCTCCGAAATCGCAAAGTGCTAATAAACAAACATGAGCCCATCTTTCTATTTATGGATACCATTTCACAGACTGCCCCGTACATCGGATGGATCGACATAATGCGTCAAAAACATGATGGGGGGCGCTGCGTACATCTGGAAATGTCCATTGCTCCTTCTAAGGATGGTGCCACTATTTGCAGTCGATGCTGCCGACCGCCCGCGATCATAATCTAAAGGATGAAGGCGACGAGGCGATGAATAATGAACTGAAAATAAACGTTTTATCGGCGAGCTTGTGCCAAACAAATAATTTACGGTGCATTTAATGAACACTTCAAATGCGTTTTCATTCAAGACAATGATGTGTTGCCAGTTTTCTATGCTCACTCCTTACCTATGCCTGATGTCTAAATGAGTGAGCGTGGTACATTGAATATGCTTTTAAAACTCGATATTAAGAAACGTCCCGGCCTTGACGTCCCCCCAAAATTCACATAGGGTCTCTTTTGTTATCCCTAAGATGACTTGAAGCAGAAAGCTCAAGCGCCGGTGCATTAAAGACAGACACCTAATTTACCTAATTCGCTTTGTCATCCTTCTTATTTGTATTGCCTCTAATCCGACTAAGTGGTCACGTAAACGTGATAGCGAACCTCCAAAAACAGCGCGCTCTTTGACGTCGCACTTTTGGCGCCGTTTCATCGGCTCACTCGGATCGTGGCGTTGGCTGCGGTCCCGGTGATAGCAAACCTCCGAAGACAGCACGCTCTCTGACGACGCACTTCTGGCGCCGTATCATTGGCACCTTTTGATTTGATGTCTTTCGTGTCGCCGACGTGTTTTCTAAAGGTCTACTGAACGATGAGACATCGAAGGCTTTCGGCCTGAAAAGAAAACGAGCGTCGAGACAGCAGAAAAGCGCGCGGCGATTTGGCGGCATAATAGCAAGCACGAGCGAGACTCACTCGACAAAGTCTCGCCCAGCTCCTTACCTTGCGTGCGGCAGCATCTCGAAAATTCTACCCAAAAGATTAGACCGTCGAGCGTTGGGGGTGAGAATGAACAGGCACTTTCAGAGAACAAGAAAGCAGGACGAAATGATAAAAACTACGTCCCGAGTAAGAATAAATGCGGATCTTCTAGAAGTCTGTGACCGAGCGTTGCTTGCTCGGCCCCGCGCGCGGCACTATCACTCCCTTTAAAAGCGCATCGTCCCGATGCAACGCGAAAAGAAAACAAGAATGGCGAATAAAAAATACTGCGAGATGAAATAAACATGCAGCGTCACAGTTCTAACACGCATATAACGGCTTGAGTGAAATGACGTGGAGCACTTCGGGTTCCGTCGGAGAGCGCGTCCTGGTGGTCGGGTTCCGTCGGAGAGCACCTCGTAGTTCAAGTGACCAATGCAGCGAATGACCTTGCACGGTCCGAATTAACGTTCTAATAGTTTTCTTGCTGGCACCGCGGCGGTGAATGGGCCTCCACATCCACACCCTGTCTCCGGGCTGGAACTCCACGTCGCTTTGACGGAGGTTGTACCGGCCAGCGTCGACACGTTGTTGGTCCTCTATCCGAAGGCGGGCTAGCAGGCGGACCTCTTCTGCCCGTTGGGTGGCCAGCTGGGCGTCGTCGGTGTTGTCGTCTGTCAGGTCGTGGGGCAGCATGGAGTCGAGCATTGTCGTCACCTTTCTAACGTGCACCAGCTGAAGAGGTGTAATCTCAGTGGTCTCTTAACCGCCGAATCGTATGCAAACGTGACGTGGGGCAAAACCTCCTCCGACGTCTTTTGGTCCACGTCCACGCACATCGAGATAATGTCGGCGATGGTCTTGTTTAATTGATCCGTCAACCCGCTGGTCTGTGGGTGGTATGCCGTGGTTCGGCGGTGGTCGGTGTGGCTCAGGTGGTGTATCCATTGTGTCAGTTGCGCCATGAACAATAAGCCTCGGTCCGTAATCAGGACTTGGAGAGCGCCGTGTCGGAGGACGATGGACTCGACGAACTTGTCTACTTCTACAACGGTTCCTGACGGGAGTGCCTTTGTCTCGGCGTACTGGGTAAGGTAATCAGTTGCCGCAATTATTCAACGCTTTCCCTGCGCCGACGGCGGGAAAGGTCCAATTAAATTGATTTCAATCTACTGGAACGGTGCAGTCGGAGCTGCGATCGGCTGCAGGAGGCCTGCCGGCTTCGTCGAAGGTTTCTTCCGTCGCTGTCCCTCGTGGCACGATCGTGTGTAGAGATGGACAGACTTCGGGGAGCTTGGGCCAGTAGTACGTCTCTCGAATCCTCGCGCGAGTCCTGCTGTAGCCAATGTGATCAGATGTCGGGTCGTCGTTTTAGGCTTGGAAAATCCCTTCTCGAAGACTAGTAAGTAAGGGTTACCAGGAGCTCAAGGAAAAGGCTCAAGGAATCGTTCCCCTTCGTGCCTCCAAGTGGTCGGTCAGTGCGCTCAGTTCAGGATCGTTCCGTTGAAGCGCTGCCATACCGTTACCGCTCACTGCGCAATGCAGAAAAGGCAAAAAAAAAAAGAATGTTTAGTCGAAGGAACATACACAAAAGGGAACGTTCTCTTCTATGTTTGTTTCTTCGACAAAAGTTTTTTTTTTTTTTTTATATGATTATCTAGAGTTACATACGAGGACAGGTAGTTGTTGGCGAAGGGAAAGAAGCGTACCCTTTAGACACGGTTGGCATCTTTCTATGCGGTGTATCTTGCGTATGTAAAATATCGCGCGTCACCCATAGATTTTGCTTCTTTTTGTTGTACGCTCGGGAACAAACCTTTCGATGCATGCTAGGACCCCCCCCCCCCCCCCCCCCAAACATGCTTAAAAAAGAAACATAATCTATAGCCACAATCTCCGTTCATTTTGCATATCACAAAAAACTCTTCAACTGCTTCTTTGAGGAAATCAGGAATGTCGACGTCATTTGCCCGAGTGAAATCGGAAAACCGTTTCAACAGATTTTCACTACGCGTACTTTGAGGTGGTGTAAGTCACAAACAACAATTGAATGATACGATATGCCCTCCTCAATTGATACACCAAAACTATTTTTTTAAGCTAAGGCCAGAAATAAAAACATGACATCGAGTAAAGATTCGCTCTCATTGCACCGGCGTGTGGTGCATTCTTTAGCTCAAATTATTGCTAAGAGCTATGTCAACAAGTAGCCTCGAATGCTCGCAGCTGCTCATAAGAATAACATTGTTCCAGTCGATGCCTGGTAACTTAAAGTCGTTAGTCAATACAACACTTGATAAATGTTTAAGTTTGGCTCGAAGAGAACCCGATAAACTCGTAAGAACATCAGTACTTGCTTGAGGATGCCTGTACAACCCTCCTATGAGCAACGACTGGCAGCCATAACGAACGGAAACCCAAACCATTTTGCAGTCATAACCGTGCTTAATAAACATGCATGCAAGGCTGTCTTTCACGAGTAGGGCAACGACCCTGCCCCCTCCGATACTTTCCTAGAACCCCGTGATCACGCCGGGAAACATTAAAACCTCCCTAGGAAAGTATCACTATCTTCAATTTGGCTGTGCAACCAAGTTTCTTTTTTTTTACAGTCACGTCAAAATCGAATGCAAAAAAAAAAAATACTTTCCAGTTTCTCAGTTTTGTTGACGACACTTCGCGGGTCTAGATTTAACAGTCTAAAGGGCGGTTTTCTTTTGAGCCCTGTTTTGGCGAAGACTTCGCAGCATCATGCCCATCGTAGGGCCTAAGCTGACCAAAGAACGGTCGAAAAAGGCAAGCCTCTAGCCGCAAATCCGAGGAATGCAGATTTTTTTTCAAAGTCTTCCTCATTTACCGCTAGATGAAAAGAAGCGTACGTATCATATTTTGAAGGAAGTTTTGTGCAGGAGAAACGTTGACTGACTAACACATTTGACCCGATTTCCGAAAGTTACCCGCAGGTTCTCTCGGGATGCAACCATTAGATGTCGTGGCATTAGTAGAATTTCTAGTGTTCCAGCGTTAGCGGTGTCTTTTGTGTCTGCCATTGTGCATGGATTCCACAGCTCTCAACAGACGGCACACTTCCGATAATGGTCTATTATGGTGGCCTAGCTCATAACCTTACTATTTGATCGTAAATTCGAGCGAAATTGGAGAAACCAGCGCAGTGTTTTTATCGCCTGCACTGATGTCCCACCAGCTGCAATTGGGATTCTAGGGTGGCCTTGCTGCTGAGGATGTACCTTTTGAAGAGTACACTTTGTACCACCGAATTTGTTTTCGTTATCAAGAACAAGTTAAAATGAATGACGTTACTTGCAAGACATGGCTCAACCGAACTTGCGTCTTCTTGACTTTTGAAGATGGCGACGCCATAGACATTCACGGTTGTTATGGGATCGCTATCAACTCTCTCCTTGGTTTATGCAACGAATGCGAAAAGCAGTACGGCGTTTCGACTCGGGCTTCTGGCCGGTGCCATTTTCAGCGTTCGTGCATGTGGCATGCACTTGATTTGCTCGCAGCTCAACATCGGCTGGATGTTGAGCTGCGGCTTGTGCTTTGTTTTCATCCACGCCATCGCAGAGACACAAAATTGGCCATTTCTAAAGTTCCCGAGTTGCTTCGCGATCTCCTTTGCGATCGCGACCCATAGTGTGGTTTACACTGCGTAACAGGGAGGTATCCAGCGCCGAAGCCGCTACTGGTTTTAAATGTTTCTCATTCTGATCTTAATATTATAACGTCTAGAGTTTGGAACAGAAACGAAGATTTTTCGATGTAACTGAACGCCTTCTGTTCACGTGTCTGAGCGTCTGAGGTATACAGAAGTCGTTGAACTGCATCGTTGAAGTTGAAATGCATCGCTCTTTTCTTGACTTGGAAACCTGCCGCGCATACGCTTATGCCTGTTCAATGCTTCGTGGATGTCAAAAGTTTACTTTGAACGTTAGTTATGCAAACTACGCCACCTGTTCTCATCACTGTTTATTTCCTTCTTCCGGGCAGTTGCACCTTCGTCAAGCCTGCGGACGGACGCTACGGAGTGCTGCAAAACGGAACATGGAGCGGAAAAATAGGAATGCTCGTTCGTAACGTGAGTGACAACCACTGCTGTCTTTGCCGCGTTCATTCAAGATGGATCGATACGAACTGCTTCTAAATAAGTTCTCCGTGTTGCACGAATTATTCATGCTCTCCAGTAGCATTATCACGCGGAGGATACAACTAAAAAAATGTATAACCGCAAGATTTGAAAAAGACACCTTACAATGCCATGACCAATAGAAGAGGGACAGCTGTTTTACATTTCTACACGAGGAAACGCCGGCATCAGAATAAGGAACGAGCATTTCCGTGACGGAAGTCATCGTGACGCACATTCAAGGGCATAACATATACGGCACCGTGTTACCAAATCCTTCTCTAGCAGTTTATGACACCAGGAGAGTAACGGGACAATACGACAGAATTTCCGATGCTAAACCTTTATGGTAATAATCAGGAACACAGAACGAGACGAACACAACACAAAGTCTCAAACACAGCTGAAGGTTTATTTGTCAGACACTCGTTTAAAACCCGAGGTTCACCGAAGGTACCCGAAGTCCTCCCGAAGGAACCCGAGGTCCTCCCGAGGTCCTTTTGAGGTCCTCCCGCAGGAACCCGAAATCCTCCCGAGGTCCTCGGGGGGGGGGGGGGGGGGGGGCTCGCGGTTACGCTGACGCTGACGCCGACGCCGACGCCGACGCCGTTCAAGCCGGAAACGGGCGCCTATGAGCTGCGCTCTAAAAGGCGAGCCCCCCGTGCCCCAACCGACATCCAAAATCCCGAAGGTCAAGCCGCTTCCTCCTGTCCGGTCCATCGTCAGCAGCCCTCCTCGCACGCACATACATGCACACGCGCTAGGTGCCGCAGCTTGTGTGTCTATGTATGCATGTGCATGTGCAAGGAGGGCTGTTGTGTGTGTGAATGTATGTATGTGCATGTATGTGTGTGCGAGGAGGGCTGCTGACGATGGACCAGACAGGAGGAAGCGGCTTGACCTTCGGGACTGTGGATGTCGGTTGGGGCACGGGGGGGCTCGCCTTTATAGACGAGTGTCTGGCAAATAAACTTTCAGCTGTGTCTGAGACATTGTGTTGTGTTCGTCCCTTTCTGTGTTCCTGAGTCTCGGGTTTTAGAGCGCAGCTCTTAGGCGCCCGTTTCCGACTTGAGCGGCGTCGCCGTCGCCGTCGGCGTCGGCGTAACCGCGCGGTGCATTATGGGACGTGTGACATCACTGGTAACGTCACTAATGACGTCATCACTTGTGACGTTACTTATGACGTCACCATCACGATGACGTCACTGATGACGTCATCAGTGACGTTATCGTGATGACGTCACTGTTGACGTCATCCTCATCATCACGATGACGTTACTGATGACGCCATCAGTGACGTCATCCCTTGTGACATCAGTGACGTTACTGATGACGCCATCACGATGACGGCATCCTCATCGGCATCATCACGATGATTATGTCATCACTGCTGACGTCACTGATGACACCATCACTGATGACGTCATCGTGATCGTGATGATAACGATGGCGATGACGTCACGTGACCTCGCGGGGCTCACGTGATCCCGTGGTGTCACGTGACCCTGGTGACGTCACGTGACTCCGTGAGGTCACTTGACTCCCGTGAGGTCACTTGACCCCGTGAGGTCTCGTGACCCCGACGACGTCACGTGGTCCTCCGGAGAGTCTAGTAGCACGCAGGATGGGGAGGTGCAGGAGGGACGGGTATAGGTACGCTCCCCTCAGTACCCTTCCCTCCTCCTCCTCAAGAGCTGCGCTCTAATTCAGTGTTACAGGGGGTTGTAAGATACTTTTTTTTTATTACCATGAATCACCAGCAGCTCGCTTGTTTTTTTTAAGTGTTGTTGCAGGTAAATCTTTCGCTGTTAATACGTCCAGAAGAATTCTGTCTTCATTCTCCGTGCTGGCTGTACCACCTTAAACACATTCTTTTATGTTGCAATATATATTGAGCACGTCCATTCACAGCATACATCTGTCAACTTGCTTATCAGAATATTAGCACAAACGCTGTATTTATTCGTTACATAATAATAATGGGAAATAAGTTGTAGATCTGTGAAAGCCGTGACCTTTCTGACTATTATTGCCAAACTGTTTTATAAGCCGAATTCAATGAGAAAAACAACAGGTTAATCTGTTCGACACATTCCAGCGTTACACGCGTATGGGCCCTGCGGCCTTATAAGTAAGAAGCCTATTCGCGGCAAAGAGTTTATGTATCGACGCCTGGTGGAATTTTTCACAACCTAGAGTGAGGATACTTCAGCGTCCACTGCTGGTGCAAGCACGTGCAATGCCAAGCTTCTATGCACTATGAAAATGAAAACATAACCGGGTGGGTAACATGTGCACTAACTGTAGTGATGACTCAACAGTTTCCACTCGCGTGCCCCGCGGCGACGCGTACTTCCGTCCCTGCGAGTGCGCATGCTCTGGGTTATCTTATCATCCCACACCTCTCCAACGTCACGGCACCAATCAGAGAACTGCTGCAACAGCGCAACTCGTGGTACTGGGTACCAAGCCAGCAAGCTACCTTTGAGAAGTTAAAGAGCATGCTTAGCTCTCATATCTGTTTGGCCAAGTACAACCCGTCATACTCGACAGTAGTTTCAGTTGATGCAAGTTCTTACGAACTCGGGGCCGTCATGCTCCAAGATCAGCCCTCTTGCGAGATACGGGTAGTGGCCTATGTATCGAGGGCTCTCACGACCACCGAAACTCGCTACAGCCAGCCGTAGATACACGTAGATGACAGCCTGTGAGCGGTGCGCCCAAACAAGAGCACAGCGCTCCGAGCCACTCATCAGTACACCGACTCCCAGTCATTTGTGGCCGAGAGTCGGTGCGGATCTGTCCAAGATCGAGGGGAGGCACAACGTGCTCGTCATGGATTATTACTCCCGCTTCCCAGAGGTCATCAGCCTGACGTCGACGACATTAACGTCCGTCATCGCAGCAGTCAAGAGCACATTCACCTGGTTTGGGATCCCCGACGTGCTGCTATCTGACAATGGACCGCAGTTCTCTTCGAAAAAGTTCGCTGAGTTCGCCCAGAGCTACGGTTTACACCACATCACGAGCAGCCCACGCTACCCACAGGCGAATGGGGAAGCGGAGCGTATGGTGCGGACCGCACATGGCCCTCCTCGTGTATCGAGACACTCCTGGAGTGACCGGCTACAGCCCGTCACAACTGCTAATGGGCCGACGGTTGCAAACAAGGGTACCGAAGATGCGAGAGACGTTGCAGCCGGGGCGGCCATCACGACGGGACTTCAAAAGAAAAGACGGGGAGTCCCGAAGACGACAGCGAAAGGACTTAAATCGCCGTCACGCTGCTCGCCAACTTCGCCCGCTGTCCTTAGGAGAGGACGTGTGGGTACAACACGTGCGGTGCCGAGCAACAGTCCTCAGTCCAGCGAGGCGGCCCCGCTCCTACGTAGTTGAGACCGGGACAGGAGTCCTGCAACGCAACCGCTGTCACCTGGTACCATTCGATGCGTCTCTGGCGGTCTTCGACGCTCCGGATCCTGGCGGTTTGACCAACGAGACTACGGCTCCAGCCAGCCCGGTGGTCTCAACGGCAAGAACAAGTCTGGGCCAACCACTGGCGACCGTAGTTGAGCCTGCACCAACACCAGCGCCGACGAACTTGACGAACCCCACGTCAACAACAACGTCGACGGAGGCGTTGACGGCGGAGAATACGCCGATAACAGTGACTCGGTTGGGCCACCAAGTTAGGCGAACGGTACGTCTGGATTTGTAAAAACTCAGAAGGGGAGATGTAGTGATGACTCGACAGTTTCCACCCGCGCGCCTCGCGGCGACGCGTACTTCCGTCTCTGCGAGTGCGCATGCTCTGGGTCATCTTCAGTTCGATGAAAAGTGATAATGAAACACTTGGGTTCCGGACTCCGGTGTGACTGGTCGCTCCTTCCCCGCGAGACACTAACCATAGTGAGAAAAACAGAAGCGCCCCTAGCGAGCTCCTCATCGCGTATAGGGATGTCCTATGAAACGGTGTCGCGTGACGTCATGTAACTTTCTGACGTCACGTGACTTTGGGGCGTCACGTGACTTCGTAACGTCAGGTGACACCATGGTTTCGCGTGACTCATAAATGAACCAACAGTGACCTTCAGCTGTTTGCCAGACCGAAATGGTTAGCGTGCCGAATGTGAAAAATAAAAACGCAGGGATTTTATAGTTGTAACTCCTTTTTTTAAAGGGTGAATATTTAAACTTCATACTGAGGTCCTATTTCAGCCATGAGTTGCCACCCGGACTGGAGTGGGAACGGAATGAGGGAATGTAATATGAGCCGCCAGAAAACTCGCCCACCTCATAAAAAAGACAAAACAGCGAAAAGAACAGACGAAGGACACGAGGAACATAGTGCGAACACAAGACGCTGCGGTAATAAATGTAGTTGAAGGTGTACCAACGCATTGCGTCTATTTTTTCTTCCTGGTGTCATTCGTCTACTTTTGTGCTGTTTCGATTTTTTGAAACCGAACCAGCCCAAGTTAATAACTTACTGCACTAGCGCTCAAGGAACCCAAACATTCAACGTTAAAACATGGTCCCTCTAGAGCTGAGAAACTCACGGGGACATTTGTGCTGCAGGAAGCGGACATATCACCTGGCCCTTTCATCATGACCAGTTCCCGCGTCTCTGCGGCCCACCCGTCCTTTCCCTGGGCCTACGAGGACATCGTCATATTCGCCGGAAGGCCGTTCCAGTTCTCCAAGAACGTGTTCGGATTCCTCAGCGCTTTCTCCGGCCTCGTCTGGTTCGTCATTGCCGTGACGCTACTGGCCACCTGGGCCGCCTACGTGGCCTGCTTGGCCGGGGCTCCTCGCCCTTCGCGCTTGGGGCGTCTCCGAGCCGTGAGACGCCGCGCAGAGGCCTCGAGTGCCTTCGGCCTGTTTGTCCGCACTATCCTGTCGCAGGGTAAGATCAGCAAGGTCGTAATCCGATATTTTTCCAAACGCTCAAAAATCATTACCTTTTTTTTATGACTTTTTTTTTTCATTTGGTGTTTGGTTAATGGTTTTTGTCTAAACCGATCGATAACGAAAGTTATGACATTTTCACGCAAAGGATTGAATGCCATTTTTCGCTTAAAGCATCTGCAGTGAGTTGTCACCGCGTGTGTAAGAGGGGGGACCCAAAAGTAACCAGAATGTATTTCTGTAGTACCAGCGTCCGCCGCTTGTAGCGCTTAGCCGCAATCTTTCCGAGTCAGTTTGCCGACCGGCATCGTCTGCTAAGTTATAGCGGCATCTGGTGATGTGTTTCTCCAGGCGCATTAAAATAATTTTTCTTTTTTGCAATGTCTTATTTGAAAGACCTTCCATATTAAAAAATTAAAAAAAAAACGTTTTCTTTTTATGACATTTTTTATACGGGCGAATAGCAACAAGTCACACGGGACGAAGTTCGTTGAATACGGAGAGAAGCAGTGGCATGTCATTTTTGTTTAAACATTGTTGCACTGACAGGGCAGTGTGTACCGGGGCATTGCCGTGATGGAACTACCACTCCTTTTCCCTCAAATCGGGGCGTTTATGCCTCACTTCGTTGCGCAAGCGTCGCCAAACTCCCAAGTAAAACACCTGATTAACAGTGTCACCAGGAGGATCAAACTAGGAGTGAACCAATGGTGAGGGAGCAGGCTAGCTGGTGTAATTTGAGCATAGTTCAGGGTGTAAGATAGACAGGTGGGGAAACGAGAGCCAAATGAGCGACCGGATTGTGTCCCCCTCGGCTTTCTCTTTTTCTGTGGCGCCTTCTATGTGGAGCACCGCTAACTCTCACTCCGGGTGGGCGACCGGAGGCGACCGGCTAAACCGACGGAGATGGTTTCTCGTGGATCTTCAGTGAAGGACTGTCGTGCTCTCGGTTTATTTTGCGCACTTTCCCATAAAGTTCCATGCAAATCCGATTCCGATTTTTTTTCTTCTCGCCGCAGCGCCATCTGTCGCAAATCGGGGGTATCCGCAAGCAGACGAGTACAGAATCCGGTCAAGGCGCTGCGGTAGGCTTCTATGGGCCGTTTCCCCACCTGTTCATCTTACACCCTGGCATAGTTGTAAATCCAGGACTGGGTCCCTATCCATTTGTCTTGGGTTTAGAACTATGCTCGGAGTGAACAATTCCCGAACTTCTCGATGTTTCCATCAGTTGAGGAGGTTGAGGTCACCCTGAACGAGGTTGGACGTCGATAAATAATTCGCCGGCCTTGAACCGACAAAAACCACTCGTAGGCCTGCCATTTCTTAATAGCATCTTCTTTGTAAGCTGTCTGAAGCATCACAAGCGTTTCACCGATGTTTTCCCTAAAAGAAAACAAAAATTTCACGGCCGCACGCTGTTTTTTCAAGTAAAACATTAAAAAAAAGGGGATGATTTTTAAGCGCTTGGGAAAATATTTCATAACATGCCGCTAGAACTTTAGCAGACAACGCAGGTCGGCAGACTCACTCGGAAGGGTGTCGCTAAGCGCTGCTAGCGGCGAAAATTGGTACTACGAACAGCCCGCCCTCCAGAAATTCATTCCGGTTACCTCTGGGTCCCCCCTCGTATGAGATGAAGGGCCTGGGGGTTATAATTGTTTTGAGCTTGAGGTTTGATGATCACAGAACAAAAGCTGTAAACTCGTCTCTCCGCACGTTAGGAGCCACATGTCGCATAATGAATTTAAAAATCCGTTTGCGTTTCTGGCACTGTGTCGCTCGTTAATGAGATCGCAACTTGAGTATACGCCTCAGTTGTGCGGAACGGCATTTTCAGAACTAACTCCTTGGCGCTCGACAGAGTTCAAAATAAGTTTCTTTTCATTTTTAAACATCGCTACGTCAAGGGTGGTGTACATCGCTTCAACTTTGAAACCGATTCCGAACTTTTGAACTTGCTGAGCATGCATCAGCGCGGTCTAATGCAGATTTGTTGTTATTATTTAAAGTTCTTCACGGTTTTATTAACTCTCCCAGGTTTTAATCGATTAAACCCTATTCTTAAATCGGCGGAGGGCTACATGTATTCTGATGCCTTCGATAATCTTGGTTCGTGCTGCAGAACTTTTGATCCCTCTGTTTGGAAGCAGTTAACGCTTGAAAAGAGTTGATAATCACTTGTGTGTGTCTACGATAACATGTTACTTGCCTTTGTTTAGAATATGCGAGCTTTGGTGTAGCAAATTCGTTGTTCTGCTTAATCCTTCTGCTTGAACAGTCTTCAAATTTCTTACTGTTTTAGCGTCAGGCTGGCGGACTGCGTTCCACCACTGCTCTGGTGTTTCCGCTTAAATAATTTATTTTTCTTTTCTTCTCACAAGAGCGCCAGCACCAAAAACCCAAGAAGTTGTTTCTGAACACTCAAATAAACATTTATTGATTGATTATTATTATCAGCAGAGTAGTAGTCGTTGTAGTAGTTGCCGTAGTAGTAGTAGGAATAGTAGTAGAAGTATTAACAGTAGTAGTAGTATCATCATCAGCAGCAGCAGCAGCAACATCATTATCATTGTCATTACTGTTATTAATATTAATATTATTGCCATGATTGAAAGAGGGCGAGATAAAAAAGGGGAAAGGGCTACCGGCGCTTTGCCCCTTGCTGGTGCGTTCGAAACAACGGAAGTTCCGGATGACAGGTTTCCCCGGTGTTGGGTGTACGTATTGCCCCAACTTCGTTCGCGCTTTCTTCTCTGTTTTAATCTCCCAGACTTAATTAGAGCCACGGGCTTTGATGGCGACAGTTCCCCGGTCATCCGGACACCACTTCACGGTTATAGGGTGCACGAATAACGACAGAAAGCGTCGAATGCTGTGCTGTCCGAGGACCTGTGTAGCTTGCACGAAATCCGGTGAGTGCGACTGCACTGTCTTTAAGCTCCATCGCTTTCCAGATGACGCTGATTTTCGGCGGCAGTGGGTAGTGACCTATAAACCGAAATTACTTTTCCCTAACGCCATCCTCTGGACAGTGCTCGGAACATTTTGTGAATGGAGCGCGCACCGAACGCTGTACCGTCGATGTACATGGGGTACGCTCGCAAGGTGCGTGCAAGTTTTCTCCTGATAATTGTCGTTTCAGCTTGTAACATTTTGTGACCTAATTTCTCTCAATAGCGATATTTTGAAGTGGTGACACTTACTCAATTTTATCATCTACAGCACTTAGTTGAAGGCTCGTTTCCGCCGCCGGGTGTGGCTCGAAATTTTTGAAAAGTTAGTTCTATCGGTTTTCCTGAATCGCGATCTCCTGCGCGATACCGGAGCGCCGTGAACCTGTGTTGACCATCACAACGCGACCAGATTCTTCTTATTTTCAAAATTACTACGTAATTTAGCTGGAAATAAACCTTCAATTTCTGCCGCTGAAACTTGAAACATGCTCATGCATCGATTTTGAATCGTTGAATAGTTCATCGACTCGCTCCGGCAATAGGCAGAGCCGTAAATGTAGAAAGTTTGGCCATTCGTTGGGAAGTATAGGAGGGTGATCTCAGATAAGATCGACCAAAGGATGGCTAGTCGACATTTTCAAATCAACTGATGTTTTTATATGTTATTGTCTAGTGTCTGGTATGAACGAATCCAAACTTATAAAAAAACGGACGAACACAACAAAATCTTTTATTGTGTGTTCGTCCGTTTTTTTATCGTTCCCCATCTCAGGGTTTACAAGATGACGATTGATTACCAGCTCGCCTGCACTCTCTCACTGCTTACAATCCAAACTTAGTTTTGACTAGAAAAAATACTTGGGGACAGGAAAAATCGTAAGGCATGAGGTGGTGGACAGTTGCATTAACGCGCACTGATGGAGGGGGCCCGTTTGAGAGTGAATAACTAAAGCGATAACATTAGGAGAACTCTAATACGTTTTAGGCGCAAACTATGGGTATAGCTTGCTTGTAATATAAAGTAATCATATTTATTTAAAATTTATTTATTTTTCTAAAAATTGACAAACATGCCTGCTCGAACGACAAATGGCAAACTTTGGAGGTCTGTATCTCATGAAATAATTTAATCATTATGATATAATTTGCAGATATTATTCTACTAATATATAGCTAATATTTAAAAAATAACTAAGGTATCTGTGTGATACAATAGTTAGGATATATTTAGTCAAACATGGAAAAAAAATCAAACAAAGAAAAATTCCGATGCGAATAAAAAAAAAAACACCACCCTCGATTTTTTTTAAATTTAGGTAACCTGTTATACTCTATTTCGGCATTCATTTCCATTAAAACATGTTGCATCATTTTATTGAGAAAGAAGATACAACTCCCCAAAGTAGGGTCCTTTTTCAAAGCCTACACTTAGCAGTGTTTTATACAAGAACTGACTCTGAGTTCCAGTTTCATGAAACCAACACACATCTTTTATGTATTTTTATTCAGATGAGGCCAATGATAACTAAATAAATCGTTCACACACTTAAATTAAGGAGAAACTACTGTGTACAAAGAGGTATCATATTACGGACTAGTGATCCGAGAAAAGATCATGCAGCCATCGGCCACTAGTAACTTTGTTTACTTTATTCTCCTGCGACACTATATGCTATTCCCTCTTCCGCTCTACCTTCATCTCTCTCTCTCTCTCTCTCTCATATATATCCCTGATATATATCCAGAACAAAAACATGTTCAAGCATTCCCTTTCTGCGTGGTAGTGTTCTGTGGCTAGCAAAAATCATTTCCTCGCTAAGCTCACGATTATGGCAAAATAGTTGCCGGAAACCGCAGACGACACTCGTCGCTAGTTCTGGCAAAACGGCCGATACAATCTTTTTTTCGCATTTCCCCGCTCGCTGTCAAGGACAAGGGGGTTCGCTTCAACCAGCAAAACATGGCCGCCGACGCCTGTTTACTGAGCAGTCATGCCTGTCGCCATCTCACTCGCTGGCGTCACGGGCGATAATATCAGGCACAAAGGGGCACACCAACCGGCAGCAATATCCCCAAATACTCGAGCGTCGCGTAAATACATAGAGTGTA